AATAGTCCATGAACGGCTTTATGGAGAGGACGAGGAAGAGGGTTTAGGTACTTTTCGGTCGGAGATATTGCTACGACAACAGTGGCTGGAGTTGGCGAGCATCATTACAACGATACGGCTCAGGGAGGCAAGGACTGTAAGAAAGGCAATTCATATAGTGGAGTTTCATTCGATTTACATGCAGTGGTGTAATACTCTGTGAAAAACGCGATATTCGTGCTATGCGGTGCTATGTGAAATATGTTTTTCACTAGTGTTGTGAAACTCCAGTGACTATTTAAGGGTTTGGTTTTCCTGTGCAGGTTATGATGGGAATTCGGTGGTTGAGTTTAATGAGGGTATTGTGGATAGAGTGTATAAGCAAGCAGCTGGCCCCGCTCATATACTTTGTGACGGTTTTGAGATGTGAGCAGTCTTCATTGACTTGTGATGATTTAACGCTTTTCCTGTCAGATTGATGGTTGAGAAGAGCCCGTCGTTCCCGGACACTGTTGTGTGGAATATTGGCAGCGACTCGTTAGGCGATATGCCGGCGGGGGACTTCAAGAGGTAGGTTTACTCAGGGGCTAGTAGTATCATACTCATTCGAGGGTACTCCTCATCGTGATGTGTGCGCAATGTGGTATTGAAAGTTTATTTTGTTGAGAACTGTTGAAAACATTGAACTCCTTATGTAGTAGGCAAAGATTCAGGAGTTGGAGAAATGATGGTATGATTATGCCTCTCGCTGTTCTCGAGTGTATAACTGAACTTGATTGATAGATACATTTGCGTCGAGTCTGCAGCCGCAGTAGAGCCGGTGAAGGTAGCCCCTGGTGATTCATGGGAAGCTGACCAGAAGCTTACCAGATGCCTTCCTAATAGTAACGGCAGCGCTTGAATGAAGCTCTGCATTGGTCGCGGAGGGGGCCTCTATAAAGTGGGTGCTCTTATTCTCCTATTGATATTGTGTTGACCTTATGGCAATTCTCTCGATGCGTTGGGGTTTGGTGTTCATCACGTGTTGACAGGGTTGTGGACAAGGTGGTGGGGTTTCCTTTCGTGAAGTGGCCGATGAATGGTAGGAGGATTTCAGTAATTAATTAGCTTTGATAAAAAATCCTCAATGCACTCTTCCGAAAGCCAAAGAAACTGTGTGCGGGAAGGTGATTTTCTGCCGTTTGTTTTAGTTTTTTCGATGTTTTTTGTGAGTATCGGGG